CTCGCCGTCTCTGCCTCATGGCTAATGGTGACGAATCCAGTACTCAGACTCCTCTCACCACCGGTAGCATTGTCCCGCCACCGGTTCAAGATGCTCCCAAACGGCATACGATCAACCCGTATGATCTCACTGCCAGCGATAATCTTAGTACACCGATCACTCAGGTTACGTTGAAGCATGATAACTATGATGAATTATGTTGTGTTGTTCGTACTGCCCTGCGAGCGTGTAAGAAGTTTGGTTTTGTTGATGGCTCGCTTCCTTAGCCGCCGGCGACTTTGCTGGATCTTGAAGATTGGTGGACAAACCAATCCTTGGTTGTTTCCTGGCTGCGAATTCCATCGAACCGTCAGTTCGGTCAACAGTTCCTTACCGTGAAGTTGCTTCGGTTCTCTAGAAGGATCTTAGTGAACGATTTGGGGTTGTGAATGGTCCTCGGATTCAGTAGCTCAAGACCGATCTGGCGAATTGTAAGTAGAAGGTTTGAGCATGTCGGCATACTATGGTCAGCTTCAGCTGCTAGGGGAGGAATTAGCCAACTACGAACCGCTGCAATCTTGCTCTCGTGGTTCCTCCAATATTCTTGAGGAGTCGGAACGTCGCCGCGAATCTGAGAAGTTGCATCAATTGTTTATGGGATTGGATGCTTCCCTGTATGGCACTCTTCGGTTGAGTTTACTTTATCAAGACCCGCTGCCAAGTGTTAACTGTGCCTATTCGTTACTTGTCCAGGAAGAACGGTTGCGGGCAATCTCTAATGGGAATAACGACGTTGCTGGTGATGCTCTGAGTTTCACGATTCAAGCTCCTCGTTTTGCCCAGCTTCCCAATACGCCGCCAAATTGGTCTACTTCACGGCCTCGGTCTGACTCCAAACCAATTGAGCTGAAGGACAAGTTGGTTATTTGCTCCCATTGCGCTAAACCAGGTCATGAAGTATCTAATTGTTTTGATCTTATCGCTTATCCCGATTGATGGCCCAATTCTCGCCATGGTTCAGTTGGTTCGGCTTGTCGTGGTTCTGTTGGCCGTGGTGGTGGTTCATTCGGTTGTTGTCGTGGTCCTGGTTCGGGCCACGGTTTGGGTGGCTCTGTTGGTCGTGCCAATGCCAGTATTGTACCCGGTTCGTAGTTCACCGGTTCTATAGTGACTGATTCGGATAAGAGTGCGATTACTGGTCTTTCTCTGGATCAATGGCAGACTTTAATCTCCATGCTTGACACTCATCACAAATCAGGTGATACCCTTTCTGGTAAGCCTTTTTCTAATGAATGGATGTTTGATTGTGGAGCTTCACAGCACATGACAGGATTTTTGGCTTTCTTGATGAATTTAAGGGCTATTTCTCCTCGTCTGGTTCAGTTACCTGATGGTTCTATGACTTATGCTTCTCAGTCGGGTGTTATTCATTTAAGCAATTTAGTAACGTTACTCAATGTTCTTTATGTTCCGGCTTTGAAATGCAGTTTGATCTCTATGTACCATTTATTGGAAGATTCCCATTCTATTCCACAATTTACTAATAAATTTTGTGTTGTTCAGGATCGTACATCGAAGACTCTGATTGGCGCGGTTGAACAGTTGGGGGGTCTCTATTTCTTTCGTGGCTTGTCTCCTGCTCGGACTGCTCATGTTGTTTCTTCGGATTTATGGCATCAGCAGTTAGGGCATCCTTCTGTGAAGGTTTTAAGGCATTTTTCCCTTTTTGATTCTAGTAGTCCTGCTTTGAATAAAGCTTGTGAAATTTGTTTCCGAGCTAAACAATCTCGTGAATCTTTTCCAATTAGTAGCTCTAAAAGTGATGAACTTTTCTCTTTAATTCATTGTGATTTCTGGGGACCTTATCGTACTCCTGCCTTTAGTGGTACCCGTTATTTTTTAACAATTGTTTCATGATTTTTCCCGTGCTACTTGGCTATATCTTCTCTCGGAATAGAAATCTGTGCCTACAAAATTATGTGAGTTTTTTTGCCATGATTCATAATCAATTTGGGAAATCTGTAAAGGGTCGTTCGTAGTGACAATAGTTCCAAGTTTTTGTGTCTGGGTTTCTATTTCCGCCAAAAGGGCATTTTGCATGAAACTTCTTATGTTGGCACACCTCAACAAAACGGTCATGTCGAACGTAAACACAAACACATTCTCAATGTAGCTCGTGACTTACTTTTTCAAGCCAATCTTCCTATTCAGTTTTGTGGTAATTATGTATTGACTGCTGCCTATTTAATTAATCGTACTCCCTCTTCTGTTTTAAATGGAAAGACCCCTTTTGAGATTCTCCACGGTAAATCTCCCTCTCTTCAACACTTGCGTGTTTTTTGTTGCCTTTGTTATATGCATAATCTCTCTCGCGGGGGTGATAAATTTGCTCCTCGTGGGCACAAATGTGTTTTTGTAGGTTATCCATTTGGTAAAAAGGCCTTGTTGATGTATGATCTTGAATTACGCAAGTTTTCTGTTTCTCGGGATGTTGTCTTTTATGAAACTGAATTTCCTTCTGCCAGTTCTTCTTCTGTGTTATTAGACTCTTCTTCTCCTCCACTTCCTAGTTTTTCTCATGATTTTGACGATAATGATTTTCCTGTTCCCAACCCTATCCCTGTTGCTCCCCCCATTTCTTCCTTTTTGCCTATGTTGCCTTCACTTCCTGCACTAGCTTCTCCTATCCCTTCCCCTCAACCCGGGGGTTCTCCGGTCTTGTCCTCTAATCCAGAGGCTTCTTCCTTGTCTCCTCCTTCTTCCGAGTCTCCTGAATTATTGGGTCGTGGTCATCGCACTATGTTTCCTTCCACTCGTCTTCGTCATTTTTCTCAACATACTATCTCTCCCCCTCCTGCTACTTCACCTGCTCCGTCTGGCTCCTCATGTACTCCTTATCCTATAACACATTTTGTAAACTGTGATTCTTTCTCACACCAGCATCGAGCTTTCTTGGCAGCCATTACTACAGGTATTGAACCTCGGTCTTTTTGTGAGACCATGCAGGATGCCAAATGGCGCTCTGCCATGCATGATGAGATTCACGCTTTAGAGAAAAATCGTACTTGGGAGGTTACTTCTCTTCCTCATGACAAGCGCGCAATTGGTTGTAAGTGGGTCTTTAAAATCAAATATCATGCTGACGGTACTACTGAGCGTTATAAGGCTCGTTTGGTAATCCCTGGTAATAATTAGGTTGAAGCCATTGACTATCATGAGACTTTTGAGCCTGTTACCAAAATGTTTACTGTTCGTGATTTCTTGGTTGTTGCTGCTGCCAAGAATTGGGAACATCAGATGGATATTAATAACGCATTTCTTCATGGTGATCTACATGATGAGGTTTATATGAAGTTTCCTCCAGGATTTTGAACTGGCACTTCTGGTCAGGTGTGTCGGCTTCGTCGTTCTTTGTATGGCCTTAAACAGGCTCCTCGTTTCTAGTTTGCTAAGCTGTGAAGACTTTAAAGCAGTATGGTTTTGTCCAATCTTCTGCTGACTACTCTCTGTTTACGTTTCATCATGGTTGTGTTTCTCTTAGTCTGTTGGTGTACATTGATGATCTTGCTTTGGCTGGTAATGCCCATGTTGCTATTACTGCTTTCAAACAGTATTTGAGTACTTGTTTCTACATGAAGGATCTTGGCCTACTTAAGTACATCTTAGGTATTGAAGTCTCTCATAATTCGTTTGGTATATTTTCATGTCAACGAAAATACGCATTAGATATTCTTTCTGAGGTTGGTTTTTTGGATGCGAAACCTGTCACTTTTCCCATGGACCAGAATCATCATCTTCCTCTGGCTGAGGGATCTACTCAATCTGATCCTGAGCCGTATCGTCGTCTTGTTGGTCGGTTGATCTATTTGGCTATCACTCATCCGGATCTTTCTATCTCTGTTCATATGTTGGGCCAATTTATGCAGGCCCCTCAGCAGGCTCACTGGGATGCTGCGCTTCGGGTTGTGCATTATTTGAAGCAACATCCAGGTCAGGGAATTTTTCTTTGTGCAGACTGTGATCTTCAGCTTTATGGTTGGTGTGACTCTAATTGGGCTAGTTGTCCTCTGTCTCGGCGTTCTTTTACTGGGTAGTTTATTACTCTTAGCGTTTCTCCTATTTCCTGGCGGACTAAGAAGCAGCAAGTTGTCTCTCGTTCTTCTACTGAGGCCGAATATCGTGCTATGGCTAATACTGTTTGTGAGTTAAAATGGTTGAAGGCGTTGTTATTGAGTTTGGGTGTTCGTCATTCTCAATCTATGCGCCTTCATTATGATAGTCAGTCTGCGCTTTATCTTGTTGCTAATCCGGTTTTTATGAGCGTACTATGCACATTGAGGTTGATTGTCATTTTCTGCATGACGCGTTTATTCAAGGGGTCATTTCTCCTGTATATATTCCTACCACTTCACAGCTTACTGATATTTTCACAAAGGATTTGGGTCAATGGTAGTTTACTTATTTTTTGTCCAAGTTGGGTATTCGGAATCCGCATGCTCCACCTTGCGGGGGGTGTTACGATATATATTTGTATAGGGTTACTTCTGTAATTTTGTATGCTCTAGGGTTTCTTCCGTAAACCCTAATATGATGTGTACATATATATATAGCTCCTTTGTGAGCCGATCAATATAGTATCATGTTTTATGCCGGCCATTTTGTTTCCGTCAAAACCTAGGACGAAATCAAAATGCCTTATAATAAGGACCGGAGGGAGTATTTCCTTTGTTCTGAAATGATTGGCTCGTTCATTTATTTTTGTATATAAAAAATTGTACAACCATTTTGTTAACAACTTCCTGGCTATATATTTTTAGTACTGTTTGATGAAAGAGATTAATTATTTATAATAGGTCCTTTGTCAGGTACCTATTGAACATATCCTATCCAGTCCGTAATTCCCCCAGCTTGATCAACTTCGATAAGCTAAAATCGCACCCCGAGGATCTCTCGATATAAAGCCATTATATGCATTTGAACAAAAAGCACACCCCCTTCGAAGTTCAAACATTAAATCACCAATGGCTTCTCAGTTAATCTTACCAAATTTCTCTCTTTTTATTTTAGCAATTTTATTCCTTGGAGCCCTGCAAGGAAGCCGTGGAGATTTTAGATATGTCGAAATCGAAAACAAAGCCACGCCGGCCCTTGGCGGTGACCGATACATTCATGACATCGGTGACGAGTACACGGCAATGAAAGTATTCAATGCCACCGATTTCGCCTGGGAAATCTTCCAAGAAAACTCAACTGCCACTAGAAAAAGCTTCACCCATATAAAAGTTGTCATCCAAGACAACCTTTGGGGTGCTTTCACAGAGAAGAATGAAATCCACATCGGAGCTTTGTACATACAAAATTTTACCGGGGACGTGAAATTCGAGATTACAGGGATTATTTACCACGAGGTAAGTTTAGTTTGGCAATGGTATGGGAATGGTGAAGCTCCTGAGGGATTGATTGACGGAATCGCTGATTACGTGAGGCTGAAATCGGGTTACGTGCCATATTATTTTGTCAAACCGGGTCAAGGAGATAAATGGGATGAAGGCCAATCCGTGACTGCCTATTTTCTTGATTATTGCGATAATTTAAAGGAGAATGGGAGTTTTATTGCGGAATTGAATGGGAAAATGAGGTATGGTTATAGTGACGCTTACTTTGTGGAGCTTCTGGGAAAGACTGTTGATGAATTATGGAGTGATTACAAAGCTCAATACAATTAATTATCAATGTTGATGAACGGAATTACACTTCCCGTGTTGAAGAATATTATACAATTCCGGTTTCTTAAACTATAATAATTCGACAAAATTGGTGTTTTCCAACATACTTTCGATATATCTCATCACGTTGCATACTTCTAAATTATAACGTGCATAGTTTCCTTCATTATGCCAACATGAATGGTAGTAATGTTATCTAAGATAGATCTCTTGTTCGCAGAAATTTTACAAATTGATTTATTTGGGTTCGTTTCGCCATTCACGAGAGAGCATGCATCAAAGTTAATATTTGGGAGAAAAACAAATTTATGGGAGGATTAAAGAGAATATAAACTTCAAATGATAGTAGGGAATTCCATTTCAAAATGCGATCTATAATAATTAAAAAAATTAATAGCTTGATGACTGTAGATTAACTAACTAATGAGCACTTTGTGACTTCGAGCGGAAGAGAGAAAAAGGAAAATAAGGAAACTGAAGAAATTTTATTTTTTTTTATTCACATTGGCCAACCGTCAACCCTCTTCCGATATGTAAATATTTTCATTAGAGTTTTACTGACACAAATTTTAAAATTTATTATGGATTATTTTGTTGTACAGATAGAATGCAATTGAAATTTTGTGAAATAATTATAAAAAAAATCATACTTAATACGAGTATGCTTACTTTCTTAAACTAAATAGATAAACTATCTATACTCTTCTTCTCCAACTTGTTACGTTTCACGGTTTCACTAGTTGACTTCATGTTTGCGTAATTATATTGATAACGCTAGTATGCTTTAGATAATGAAAAATTTACCTGGTATTTGGTAAATAAAATACAGGAGACGAATACCTATTAGAATCTTTAATTGATGGAGTGGATGTAAATATATAACCAAGCATAAATTAACACAAACAGTAACAACAATGGAATCGTTTCAGTTGGTAGATTCAACGTACGCGAATCCAGCAAAATAACCTTATTTCAGTTCTCTTATCATCAAAATTGGGCCAATAAATAATTTTTGAAGTATAAACATCGCAATTTGCAACTCTACAATTATCCAAATGATTCCCAGGAATTTTCTAATCCCTATTAGAGTAACACAGGAAATGCAAACTGTTGAAGATGACAAATCTCGCATGACCATTGATGTGTTCGGGACAACTATCTGTTTGGTGAGTTTATGCTGGAAGATATCCAACGTTAACATTGTAAGGAAATCAAAATACGCTAATAACAATTATAAGATACGGAATTAAAATTGACCTCCACCAGAATCGATTTAGCAATATATACATAACTAAATAGTACCTTTTGGCGATGGCATCGAAAGCACAATAACTAGATGAATTGACCACACAGCCGCACAAATGTCCAGCCTCTAAAAGTATCTACATAACTATTTCAGAGATCCTCAACAGGATTGATTTAATGCCAAGGCAATATGTTAGTTCCCTTGAATCACCAAAGCATATGCAAAGAATCCTGAAAAAGTCTTTTCTTTCTATTCTTTTTCAAACTCATATTTGGAATTAAACTTGGCATTGAGTATTTATGGAAGTCTCTTTTCTCACTTTACTGTCAAATAGAAAATCTAATTTTAAACAGACGATAGAAGATCACATAATATCTAATCAGTTAAACTTAGATATTAGATAATAACCTCCTTAAAAAATAATTTTAGTTGTACTAAAATTATTCTTTTATCAATAAGTACATAGGATTAATATATATTTGTAAATTAATCCCAATATTTATCGTATAATTATTTTAATCATTTTAATTCTAGATATAGTTATTTATGTATGACCCTTTAGGTTCTTAATCAAATAATAATAAATACAAGTATAATGTTTAATTGGCTTTAGTACAAAACCAACAAACTCCCACTTGTTCTAAAGTTAATTTAGTTTAGAGAGTTTTAAGTTAAGATAAATTAAGTAATTTTAACTTATTATTAACTTCACGATTTAACTTATATTTATAGATCAAGATTGTCCTCTTGGCAGACATCATGACTATCCAAATGTTTAAGAAAAGTCAAGTGATGGACTTCACCTATTCATGAACCAGTTTTTTGTATAATTAATATCCTTTCACCATCCTTTATCCCAATTAGTACACGAGTAAGGAATAAGTCCCAATTCCAATAGTACTAACTTTATTTCCTGTTTCCAAAATTTAACTCTCTTAAATAAATATAGACTTTTTTAAATTCATTTTCTTGTTTGCAAACATTTTGAGTTGATATTTAACAAGTGGCCATATCTGGGATATAAACTTCCACTATTAGAAGTGGTGAATCCTATATTAATCATAAACTATCATTTAATGTTTGTTATACCCAACTTCTATTGTGTGCATAACCTTTTACAATTATGGATCAACAGAGTCAAAATAAAACAATACATACTGAAGTTACTCTTACGATCTCAAGTCTAACGATTTGTTACACTACTGTCACGTAGAGATTGAACCAGTGGCACTCAAATAGTTAACCTTTTGGCCTCTAACCGGATAAATCCAGTAAATTTGTTCCCTAACAAATTATTTATATATCATCATATATACTAATCTTTCCGTATTAACAATGTATTTGTGTTGTTAATACTATGATTAGGGATATTTTAGAATAAGAATATTATTCTAAGGACATTATTAAAATGCAAATTTGTAAACATAACTTTCAAAATGATAAAATGCCATATATCATTATTGCATAAATAATGTAATCAAAATATAATGGTTTATAAATTTACAAGTCAAATTCTTACAACAACTAAAACCAATCTTTCACACATTCCAGACCAAATGAGTGCACATGACTATCATGTTTCTTCTGGGATAGGGGTTTAGTTAAAGGATCAGCTTTATTGTCCGCGGTAGGAACCTTTTCTATCTTTATTTCATTTCTTGCAATAATTTCTCTGATCAAATGATAATGTCGTAACACATGTTTGGATCGTTGGTGAGACCTTGATTCTTTTGCTTGTCCAATAGCTCCGTTGTTGTCACAATACAAAATTATTGGGTCAACTATTGAACGAACTACTTCAAGGTCAGAGACAAATTTCATGATCCAAGCAGCTTCTTTAGCAGCTTCAGAAGCAGCAATGTATTCAGCTTCTGCTGTAGAATCAGCAATTGTCTCCTGATTAGAACTTTTCCAAACAATGCCACTACCATTTAAGGTAAATATATACCCAGACTGTGACTTCCAATCATTTTTCTCAGATTGAAAACTAGCATTAGTGAATCCACAGAATTTAAGCTCTTGCCCTCCATATACCAAAAATAGATCATTAGTTCTTCTTAAGTACTTAAGGATATTTTTAACAACCTTCCAATGGTCTTCACCAGGATTGGTTTGAAATATGCTCGTAACGCTTAGAGCATAGGAGACATCTAGTTTGGTACACATCATAGCATACATGATTGATCTCACCACCGAGGAATAAGGAACATTTTGAATATGATGTTTTTCTTTCTCAGTCTTAGGACACATATCTTTAGATAGATAAGTCCCATGAACAGTGGCGGAACCAGGTTTTAAGGATCGGGGAGGCTCGCCGTCTACTTAGACTTTAAATTTTAGAGGCGATTAAAAACTTTGGCATTTTACTTTGACACAAAATTTGGAACAGTTATAAAAATAAGAGTAATTTGTATTTTCCATAGAGAGTGGAAGCAAGAAGTGTAATAATATAAGTTGATCGTGTTAAATTCCATTTAGAAAGTAAGCAAAAAGAATTCAATTTAGAAATGATAAAATAAATTCACAAAATTAATTAGTTTTGGGAAAATAAAGCCAAGGCGTAATAATTATTTGAAACCCCAAGGCGAAAAGTTTGGAGTTTTTAAGTCAATGGGGATTTTTAAGCTATATTTATAAATGATAGGGATCAAACTATGCAATTCTAAAACTTTGAATCATATTATATATATCTTAATGGTTGTCTTCTTCCTTCAATTCCGGCGCTCCAATCCTGCAACTAACAGCCGGCAAATTAGTTTCTTCCAAAAAAACAGCCGGCAAATTCCAAACATCATAATATCAACCTGGGCTTCTTCTTCCTCGATCCCCCTCACTTCCAAAACCGAGGGGGCTGAGACTTAAAGGCAGAGCCACCAAGCCCTCTACAAGAGGTAGTCTTATGGGCTTCTCCGGCCGACCGGGGGGTCAGCCGACCCCCCGAGCACTATGGTGGTTCCGCCACTGCTCATGAACTATGGGAACAAACCCCTTCTTAGATTGATGCATACTAAACCTCTTTAGTACTTTATCAATATATGTAGACTGTGTAAGACCAAGCAACTTATTTGACCTATCACGATAGATCTTAATTCCTAAAATATAAGTTGCTTCTCCTAAATCTTGCATGGAGAAGTTGTTTGACAATTACATCTTAACTGATTGAAGGATATGTATGTCATTTTCCATTAATAATATGTCATCGACATATAATATAAGAAATACTACAATGCTCCCACTTATCTTCTTGTATACACAAGGTTCATCTTCGTTTTTAATGAAACCAAAATTTTTGATTGTTTCATCAAAACGAATATTCCAACTTCTAGAAGCTTGCTTAAGTCCATAGATTGACTTTTGTGGCTTACACACTTTGTTTGGGTTTTCTGATACAAAACCCTCAGGTTGTATCATATACACATCTTCTTGTAAATCTTCATTAAGAAACGCTATCTTAACATCCATCTACCAAATTTTATAATCATAGTGTGTAGCAATAGCAAGTAAAATCCTTATGGATTTCAGCATTGCTACTGGAGAAAAGGTTTCATCATAGTCAATACCATGTTTTTAGTGTAACCTTTTGCGACCAAGCGTGCCTTATAGGTAGATACATTACCATCCATGTCTGTCTTCTTTTTAAAGACCCACTTACACCCAATTGGTTTTATCTCTTCAGGTGGATCAACTAAATTCCATACTTTGTTGTCGTACATGGAATCCATTTCTGATTTCATGGCGTGTTGCCACTTCTTAA